ATTAATTGCTGTTTGGTCTTAATAAGATCCTCTCTTTCTTTAATATATATATATATATATATATATTAAAGAAAGAGAGGATCTTATTAAGACCAAACAGAAATTACAAAGATAAATCAAAGAGAGACTCTAATATAAGGAGAAACTAAGTTATCCCCATGTACCAAAATTCTAAGCTCAAAACCAAGGGAAGATCTAACATTAACAATATTACTAGACGCTCTGAGTTTGGTTAAGAATCTGCAAGTTTATTGGCTTCTCTGAGAGTATGAGACCATCAGATAGTGAATAAAGGTGGCAAACACATGATCTTCCTCTATAAGATGATATTATACCAAGGGCTACTGAAATTCCCAACACAAATATGAAATGTAACCAAAGAATCCATCTCAATTACTGAAGACCAAATCCTCAATCTCCTAGCAATTAGAAGGCTGTAATGAATAGCAGCAAGTTCTGAAAATTAGGCAGTAATAGAGCTCACAGGAGCAGAAAACCTAAAAATGTATTTTCCTTTCCAATCTCTGAAAATTCTCCCAGCTCCAGCTGTCTCTTTCTTGAGACCCCCGTCCACATTTATCCTGACAAAAGGCCTACAAGGCTTAATCTAATGGACAATCTTTACAATATTTCTCCTCTTAGCAGCAGCCGTAACAATGAAATCAGATAGCCTTCCATTTGTTCCTTGAGCAACCTGTGGTACTTTAGTGAAAGTGAGAACTTTATAAATAAAAGTCTTGATATTTGTTAGTATCCTCTTAGCTGGGTGGTTACCATCTTGATGCTTTCTATGATTTCTCTCTCTCCCATCCAAATAAACAAACTGTAGATATATGGGATGAAATTCTGAAGATGAGTGTAAGAATTGCTCCTTTTCCAGTTTTCCAAATATTGCTCCAAAGAGATATAACCATTCAGAGGTAAGAAAAAACTGAAAATCTTGTTCCATATATATAAATATATTTATATATATACCCATTATATGCAAAATAAAAGAGTAAAAAGGTCATTAAATTCATTCATGGGATCGTCTAAATCCTACTCAAATTTAAAATTAAAAATTGCCTTCAATAATTAATATAACCCCTCCTTAAATTAAGCCTTGTTTCAATGAAGAGAGTGTTATTAAATTCAAAATTTAAAATTAATGTATAATAATAGTTCATTGATACTTCATCATTAATTTAAGCCTTGTTTCAAAGGTGGAAGTGTGGCAAAAATTTAACATGGCCCATCTCTCTCTCTCTCTCTCTCTCTCACACACACACAGCGCCAAAAAGACATTCAACCATTAAATGATTGTCTCAATAAAAAATAAATTAACCTTATTCAGCCAAATCGCATCTTCCTAATCCTATAGTAGGATTCAGCTAATTTTCATCAAGCAAATTTAATTTTAACTATTCATAAATTAATAAAAAGAGCTAAGATAAAAGAAATTTCCTTCTTAATGTTCTTCAGAGATTTCCTTTATTCTTTCTCTCCATGTTTTCACAATAATAATTTAGATTCTACAAAGCCTAATTTGGTGAAATGAAATCCAATCAAATTGCTAAATTGCACGAATTTTATTGTTATTCCCTGTATTGCCATGAATTTCAGTGCTATGTTGAAGATTTGCTTCTGATTGTAGGGGTGAAGTTTCATACTCGGGCATTAAATAATTAAAAACCTGGTAACATATGGTAGAAAAAGAAAGTTTAGCATGGATAAGTTACCCACCTTGCAAAAACATATATTTATGCATGAGAAAGAAAACCACTGATACTTCTGATTACAGCACCTCAATTGTCCAGAAGTGATATTTATTCTCAGAAAAAGGGAACTATATAAACTGTATGTTTATTTTCCATGGATCATGTCATCAAAGAATGGGAGCTACAGATGAGTTGCATAAGGTACATCATCCACATATACAATTAGTGCATTGAAGAGAGAATACCTTCCATAACACACATGATAATCAATGGAGAAACCGTTTACACGACTCTAATCTTTGGCATGCACGTTTGATGCTCAGTGTGTGACGGCGCAACCCATGCCACGAATCTGAGCACTGCTCAGCTATCGGGATGTCAAGCCTGGATAACTGTTCATGCAGTGCCGATATATTAAGAAGAGGAACAGTGGTTGGTCGACCATGAGCACACTAGCAGCACAAATGGAATAATAGTGAGTTTAGGAAATATTCAAGGAAGATTTACGTAAATACTACTCATTTCCTATGTATCTAACACCTGAAATTTAAATTTTGCATGCATACCACCTCCCTTGGGCATGAAAAAATGTATTTCGCTTTTTAAAAAATAAAATGGTGGCACTTTTGTGTGAAATGAAAGATTTGGATGGTAAGAATGTAAAAAAACAAAGTTTAAGTGTTAGATATGTAAATACATACATAGGAATTGAGTGGTAAATGCACCAATATTCAATTGTAGATAATAATGCTAAATTACCCAAACATATATATATAATTGAAGTGGATCTAATTATTAAAATTTTTAAGATATGAGATAATTGACTCAAATATAAGAAATTTATTTTAGATATAAGGGTTCATCAGATATCAAGGCTCAGCCTTGATATAAGACGTTATCTAATAAAAGGCCTGTTAGTCCAAGACAAACCTCAGTTTTGACCCAATAAGATAAAAGATCCTTTGACTCTGATATAAGGAGTTTCACTTATTTACATCACAAATGGCAGTCAACTCGTATATGAGAACATGTAAAGATCATTAAATTAATTCATATTTTATAGCAATAACAACTAAAATATGAATTATATAAGCTATAATATGTGGCCTCACTTTGAGTATAGCTTTATTTAGAGAGTATAGCATCATTCAGTTATAAAAATAAACATAAATTCCTTATATTGTTTGATAAAAATTCTGAAAGAAAAGTTTAGTATTTTCTAGCTTTTCAACTAGAAGAATCAAACCTGGAAGCACAATGAAGTTGCTTTTAGCTCTTCTACAATGAGGGAACATTCTGAAGGCAGCAATGCATCTCCAAACATTATGGCACCTTTATAGCACAGACACAGCTCCAGATTAAATAATTGTTCCATATTCAAAAAAACTTATTCCCTTCTGAAAGTTGGGACAATTACATACCTCTGCAGGCTTTAAAATTTAGTATACGAAGCACTGCTGGAGGAATCATGGATGAACCATCCGTTTCAACCAACTATTAATAGATGAAAAAAAAAAACAAACAGCAAAAGAAGCCATTAAGGACCACATCATTAGAGGAAAGGAATCACTCAAAAAATAGAGAGGTAAATGCGCCCCCCACCCCCCTCTCTCCTAATTTGAAGAGAGAGAAAAATAGAATGTTCTCATATTTAAAGAATAATCATTCTTCTCCCAATTTTAATTTATTCTCCTCTGATAAAATCTTCATACTAAGGCTGCATCATTGATTTTAATCTGCGGCATGAAAATTATAGGGAGGCAGGTTTAATCAATTTTCATAAAAACAATAACTCATAAAGAATATAAAAAACAAAGATAACCAAACATCATATAGAAGCCTACTCAAAACTTTAGATTAAGTAATGTATGTCTTCAATCAAAGCCACGAATAACTCTTATCTGTTGAAATTTTAGCCTTTGCCTAATCATAGAGCAATGTAGTCGCTTTTCAAACATCATATGAAGCGAAGCAATAACCAGAGAGGAAATAGCGAGATTGCTAGTGGACAAAAGAAAATCTTAAGGTTATGGGAGACAAAAAGGAGAAAGATAAGAATAAGAAAATAGGGAAGGAAGGAAGTCACTGATTGAGTGCGGGGAAGGCGACATCGTGCCCTAGCTAAAGAAAGGAGAAGAAAGGAGAAGAAGGCTTTTTTGCTTGTTGTGTGTTTGCCTAATGTGTTATTAGAAGCTAATTATACCTAATGA